CAGCAGCCGGAGCGGGAGGCGAGAGCCCGCGGAGGAGCACCGCTGGCGGCAGCGCCCCGGAGGTCTCGGGTCCCTTACGGCACGGGATCACTTAGTCGTAAATCCTTTCCCTTTTGAAACCGCCGAATGAGTCCCTCCCTTTCGAGGAGAAGCAGTGCTAAGGAAGTGAAAACTAGAGTAGTAATTTACTGATACAGCAGGAGACAGGCTTATTTTAAAACAAATAATTTCCATTGCATGAAATGTTTTATATATATGCAATCCACACACCTTCCTATGCACGCTTTAATTCCGTCCTAGCTCGTCTCAGATCTAACAAGTGACAAGGTTTAAGCATGAACCAAAACGTGATTTTTTGGTATTAAACTATACAACAATATTGGTCTCTACACCCTGCCAAAGGCCATTCTGATCAGGTCAACAAGAAATAATAAAATGCTTCATAATACACATCTCCAATTTACAATGAATTTCAAACCTAAAAAAAAAAAATACAAAGCAAAAACAAGTATGGCAAATATCAAAGATTTTACCAGTTGGGTCTTTTTCTTTATTGAAATTTTCATAATTCAGTTTACTATACTTGTGTTTTACAGGCAATGAAGAAATGAACAGAGGCTTTCTATAATTTTCATCCTTTAAAATAAATTTTAGTCCAATTAGTATTCAATTAAGTAATAGAATATTCTCTTATATCCAACTGTTCTGTGTAGATGTCCAGCATGAAGTCTCTAAATAAAAAGTACTTCACTTTCTGTCTTTATGTTTATTCGTACTCCTTCTGCATCGGTTCTGTAACTGAATATTATTTTTATGGTGTGGAATCAGATTACAATTGATCTGTTCACGTTTATTAAGATACCACATGCTGTGTTTCTTATGTCAACGAACTGAAGTGATTTGACTTTGATTTATTTGCAACACAAGTATGATAAACATAATGCTGTTTTTCTAAACTAACCAGATGTACAATAAGCAGATAGAAATGACTTATTTGCCATTAATGATAGAATGTTACCTGTACAAAAATTTAATATATTGCACTTCAAAATGTAACATGCACAGATAACATATTATCAGATTTTTCAGTAGGCATCTAATTTACTTTTGATTCTTCTTTTTTTTTGAACAAAGATGGAACAAACAGGAATCACACCTATCCAAAAACTTATACCAAACATTTTCGAACTTTGGCATGGGAAATGTAAAATACAGAATTGGCATCATTCATGCAGGCCTCCTTTAGCCTGAGAACATTCAAAGAATTGTAAAATATCAAAAATTATCAAAATATAATGCTAAAACTAAAGATTTTTATGGACTGCTCCAAGTCAGCATTATAACGTAAACTGGGATCTAAGCTTATCAGCTATAATCTATTTCTCTTTACAGTTTGTTTTTACAGAGTCTGAATACTGGCAGGATCAAATACAACTTGTCTTAATCACATGACCTGTCACTGCAGGTTGAGGTTTTCATGTGAGTAAGTCAAGTGTGATTTCTCCTAGAAGTATACAGGGAAATTAGATAAAATGTATCAGCTGCCATAAATAAATAAATGAATAAATAAATGTTTTTGTGTGTGTGTGTGTGTGTGTGTGTGTGTGTGTCTATTTTACATTTCCGAAATCGAGGAAAGACACTGGCTTTAGTTTTATGTGGATATTTCTAATTAGCAGCTTCACTTTAAATAAGATACCACTTTTCAAGACTAAAGATGCCAATGTCTGGAAATACATATGTATTTAAAATACTACAACAAATATAGCAAGTAGCATCAATATTGTACGCTACTCAGGATTCAGCTCTTTCCATAATAGAAAATGCCTTGAAAACACCCGGGTTGGGAAATATAATGTTTTCATTTATAGAAGAATATTTCAGGGATTTTTTTCTCTCTCTCCTTTTTTTTTTTTTTTTTTTGCATTTTTGAAGGATATACATTCGTCTTGGTTTTTGCTTCCAAATACAGTTTAAGGCTATTTGGTAAAGTATATACCAGATATCAGGCTCAATTTACAGGGTTTTCTCCTCATAGAAACTTCTCAAAACTTCATCTCTAAAGATTCATATCTTGAAGCCAAACATGCTTTGTCAGCTATGCTCCAAAGACAGAACTCATGCTTAACATTACGCACTGTAGAAAAAAGAGAACGAAAAGGAAAAAAACCCTCAGATTTGAAGCAATGTCAGGTCTGCATAACCTATGATACTTCACGTTTTCACTCATCTGTCAGGCTGCAGGGTGCGTGGGACACAGATTTAAAGTGCTCATCAGGTGAAGAACCAAAGTGCTAGAGTATAATTAAATAGCTGTTCTGCCTATGGCTAAGTACATTGCATTTGTTAAAGCAGGTAAACAGGAAATGCATTAGTTGGGACTGTCTGTCTCACCGTGTTGACATGGTTTTGACCTAAAGTAGTATTCAGAACCTTGGACTCGGGGTCTGTGAGTTATTTATCTTATTGCGTCTTCACCTGAAGACTTCTAAGTGCAGGGATGCTCAGTTGCCTCTGGAAGGTAGGTGAAGTGGAATAATTCTATCTTAATTTATTTTAAATTAAAGCCTCTTGACTGTGGTAATTACCACTTTTCTCTTCTGATAATGAGAGGCTTGAAAACACATTATTTTCCTTATATTCCATGTCTGGAAATCACTTATCTCTTGAGTCACGTTTTTTACGTCTGAAGCAAGCAAGAAGCTTATTCTTGCTATAACTGATACTGCATAGAAAAATAGTTCTAAAAAAAATACAACTGTAAACCACAGTTCACCTTTACCTTAACATAACCATTTAAACTTAGATATACTTACCACTCACATTCATATTTCTTAAACTGGTTACAACATCACAACTGGCATTTTAAACAAGCAAGATTTTTTTTCTCAAGGATACCCTGGAAACTCAACTGATATAACATTTTGAAGAGTTTGAAATATTACATGTAGCGCAGCTCTTGAAATAAAAGAGAGAAGGTTTATAAAATAAATGTTAACACATAAAAGAACTGTTAAAAATGCAATGAGTGTTCCAAAGGAGTAAGTATAACTTTTTCTTTACACATCTTGCTACAGAAGATCTAACTTTTTAAGGCTTCCATTTTCCTTTCACCCATCACTCAAGTCCTCTTGCATTATAATTTTGCTTAGGTTTCAGAATGTCGTTATACTGCTAGCAGCAAACGTTTCTCACTGGGCATTCCCAACATCACCAGACTTGTATGCTTCTTGATTTCTGATGAACTTTGGAGTTTTAGTGGCTGGATATCCCTGTTCGTCTCCAGAAACTTGACAAGACATGAGAGGCCGAATGTTATTTTGCAGTAACAAAGATGAGTAGAGTGGCAGAGCACATGGGCAAATATTTTAGCTAGGTTCAAGGAAAAGAAACTGGAGGTCAGAGAGATAAATGGGTTCTTTCTTTCCTGCTCTTTACATTTGTAGCACCTTCTACTTGGATTAGCTAATGCCTCTAGTGAATGGTGAGATGCACCCATTTATAGTTTGTTATTCTTATCCCTAATTATCACACATTTTATAAAAATATAAATAACAAAAAAGTAAGCTGGGTTCCATCTCAAGAGGTGTTTCTTGTTGTCCTCTGAGAATATATTGGATAAGTCAGGTCTCAACAAGCCCTATCCATTGTAGCTGATCGTAAGTCAGACAATAAATACAAAAGAAGTTGTTCTTGCAATGAGCTCAGCAAATTCTGAGGAAATCAAAAGCATTCCACTGTGCTTATGGCACAAAGAACACAACAGCAAGGGCATATTTAGTGGAGAGAATGAGACAAAAATTACCAGGTAAGTGACAAACTGTACAAGCATTTTGTTTAAAAAAGAAACTCTGCAGCATTCTGTCTTTAAAGCCGGGTTTGAGCCTCTGGGATATAGATCTCAATGCTGTCTGCACGCTCTGTGGCTGAATTCTGCCGGAAAGAGGCTGCCCTCTTAGCAGCCATCAGCCGTCTTCTAGCTTCTTGTCGCTGTCTGTCGGGTAGGTCCAGAGATTTTTCTCTTGTGATAGGGAATTTTCCTTTTGGGGGCTTCTTTGGTACAGGAGGAGGAACCTTTCTTTCTTCCTGCAACAGAGCATTGAAATTGAAAGGTGAATTGCATGTGGAAAGTACCATCTGCAGAATGTGCATATTAAGGACGTGAAAAACACTAGTTGCATACGTCAGGCATGCTCAATTTGCGCTCCAAAATCCTCTGATTAATGGATTACATGACTCACTATCCGTTCTAGGGACACTGATGAAAACCTGTTATTTCAGCAGTCATTACAAATTCAGTTGGACTATATTTCTGCAGTCCCATGCTTTACAGCACATGCATTCTGTGTACCTCACTTTCACATGAATCCATTTAATTTTAGCTGACACTTTATCACATTCATTATGAACAGAAACGCAGACTGGCTTGCCAATAAGAACTCAGTGCATCTGTGTGGTCTGATCAAGTGAAAAGACTGTCTAAGATTAGCAGGACAGGATTTTTAATTAAATTAATCATACTGAATTTAGCCTCAGCTGGATATGAGATAGCAGCTGTGTATACTTGTCTATTAGTTTAGCCTCCTCTCTGAATTGCTAAATGGAAACATGCAAACACCAACCAGAGAGAGGAGAAAAGAGGGCTAATCATTCTACTTGCTAACCTGGACTATTTTTAAGAAAATCATATTGAAGAATGATCAGACTATATGGTGAGAGTCAGTATATTTTGGTACCAAGCAAGCTGCATAGGACTTCCGCAAGTTTTAAATCGAGAACTGTTCTGAAGTATGAAATTGGTATTTTCCTCCATTTAGCGATAGTGAAATATCATATAAGGACCCTAAGAAGATTTATAGGATCACAGAATTATGTAACAATTTAGGTTGGAAGGGACCTCCGGAGGTGATTGGATACAGCCCCCTTCCCCCCCATGCAAAGCAGGGCTCACTTGAAATTAGATCCAAATTTGAAGTTAAAACAGGTTGTTTGAAGTCAAACTTAATACTTGACTGAGTATCTCAGTCAAGATGAGATGGAGCTTCTGCAACTTCACATGTATAGCATGGGTGCTATCCCATACCGTTCTGCCCATGTACTTCTTAAAGTGACAGTAATAGCCAGAGTTACGGGGTGCTAATTGTGGAGAATACAGTTAATCTGACCCACTACAGGTTATAAACGATAAAAAATAAAACTGAACGGCCTTGGCTTGCAGAATTTTTTTTGTTTTGGGTTTTTTTTTGAAAGTAATTCTTAATCTACTAGCAAAATACTTTAGACAAGACTAGATGAGAAAGTTATATGACAACATAGTTCTACCTCTCAACTCAATGGCAACAGTGCAGCAGTCTAAAATGAGACACATTTGCTGTTCTCCATGAGAGTCAGCTCTTCCAGATATTATTTTCTATTTGCTATGTTCAGCCAAGAACATAAGGGTTCTGTTCCCTTTGTCCCATACCTCCCCCTCCTTTTTTCTACTTGTCTTTCTTTCCCTCTTGGGAACATCACTGTTCCTGTCATTCTAATAATTTCTTACTTCCAGTTGTTACCAGTCAGCAAGAGTTGCAAACTCACCATCCACCAACCAGTTGGCTGAAAATTAAAATCCAAGAGGAGCATGAAGGGATGAAAGAGTTGTCAAGATGCCTCCTAATTCCTCCCAAACCAGACAAGAATTCACCTGAGGCCAACGGTACTGACTCAAAGCAAATGCTATCTTCATTTTACTGATAGAATAATTGGCAAGGACAGTGGGATAGTTAAGGAGAGGGATGAAGCTCTAGGAAGGGGAAAGGCAGCTACAGAATTACACTGCTTTTGTGGACAATTTGCCACCTATGTTGCAAGTGTCACGGCCAGGGTGTCTCCTGGGCTGTGGAGCTGCAGTGCAGAGATGCAGGCAGGGTGCCAGTCAGAAGTACTCCTTGTCCCACAAACTTTCCCAGGCCAAGCTCTACCCAATGTTTTGTTACATGTTTTTATCTTGCTCTTGTTCTAGTATCAGTTATATCTTGCAGGCAGGATTAAAGACTTCGTGCCCAGGTTTGAGCTGCCCCAAATGTGGCAGCAGGCGGGGGCTGACCTTAGTTGAATTCTCAGGCTATTGTCCTCAATCTGAATTAATCAGAACATATTTCAGTTGCAGCCCTTATAATTCAAATCCAAATAATTTGAATAAAAGTGGTCAAGGAGCACATTGACAGGACTTAGCAAAATCCATTTCACTTGTTACATAGTTCAACTCAACCATGTGAAAAAAATGAATAAATAAACCTTTACATCTGATGAAGGATTGTGTATTGCCAGTTAGATACTTTTGATCTTTGGGTTGGAAGCCTATCATGTTTTACCATTGGATTTAACACAAGGAGACCACAAAACTACAAATGGAAAGCAAATGCTATTGTCCATGGTCTGCTTACCTTCCTTTCAGGTGATTCTATTATTTTCCATTCATTGAGTTTCAACTGGTGCAGTTCATCGAACTTCATGCTGACGTCTTCAATTGAGAGCTGCAATAAGTCCCAGAATCCTGCTAGGTCCTGGGAAGTCGGTCTTGGCATAGCACTCGGGTCCTGTCACATATACAAAGGAGAAAATATGAATAGACCAAGAGACTTTAAACAATGTGCTTTGAGGCAGGAAAGGAATCGCAACAGATTATATTGCTAGAGTGCTGTACCAAGCTAAGGCTTACATGCATTTTACAGCTGGGATCTGTGACTGGAAAGTCATGCCTCCTACACAGCCCAAATATAAATGAGTTAGATGTCACATGCTAGCCTTTCTGAATCCTTGCAGCATGGGAAGTTCCTTAACACCATATGCTAGGCTGACCTGCATTTCTAAAATGTAGCAAGCTGGCAGCCTGTGTCTGCTGATTATTATGGAGAAGGGAAATGTGCTTTGTATTCTAGCCAGCCTAAAGTCTTTCTGGTTAAAAATTACATACAGGACAGCTGAGTAGACGATGAAATAATACAGCAAAGTACTTGCCAGTTTAGGCCGAATTCAGTGTTTATATTGTCTTGGGTTTTCAAATTTGTGTGTAAGGCAAACAGTTTTAATTATAGAATGAAAATGTGCAAAAGACTTAACGGAGCAAATATGAATGTAGCCATTTAGGAAAACTACTCTTCATTTGACTGTTAACCTGATATTGGCACAAGATAAAAATTACATCAGGAAAGTATTCTATAGACTTTCAACCCTTTATTTTATAGACATTAGTTCTAGTTCCAGAATATAGATTTGTCACTTTAATAAAAATATCCCATCTGTGAAGATGATGGGAAAATTTCTTTCCCTCTAGGGCAGGAATAAATAGTTAAGATGGTCTACGCAATGGACCTGGGAGAGATGGAGCTGAACTCACTTAGGCCAACAAGATCTCTCTCTGCCTGGGCAACAGCTGTCATGATTAGTTTATTATATAACAAAAGAACAACGAAGTTACTGTGCCCCATATTTTAGGAACTTCTGGGACAAAGGGTTTTGTGTGAACCCTAATCCCACATAAACCTGGGAGAGAGGCAAATCAGTATTTCTACTGAATTCCTCCCCTGAATTCCAGATTCCTAGTGGTCTTACACGAGGAATTGGTACTTAACAACAGAACTTGGGTTTGCAAATGCTGCTGTGGGAGGTGAGTGCCTGAACTTAGGCATGACAACATCCAGTGTTGCCCTGTAGATCCCAATTTACTCCAAAACCATTTACAATCTATGTCAGTGGTATTAGTCACCCTACAAAGGTCAGTATCCGGGACTTCAAGAATTGACTCCCTCTTTGAAATTTGTCAGCAGAGTCCCACAGCAATGTGTCTTGTATTGCAATCTGTTCTCTCCAGCCTGCTATCATCAGTCCCCCTCTCCAGTTTCCTCTAAAGAGCGATAAAATGATGCCACTCATTGAGATGCCATTCCCTTCTGAAACAAGGGTTATTCCTCTTCTGTACCTTTGCACACCCTGCTCTGCTCACCCCTGTTTCAGGATTGCACAGCTCCAGCACGGCTGCTGCGTGAGGCCTGTGCCTTACGTTATCTGGACACAAGAGGGCTGCCTCCTGCTGCTATCACTTGGGTATTGATAGCCCACAGTCACACTGCTTAAACATTAGCAAAAATGATTACTATTAAAGTTAGCTAAATTTTGAAAAGATTGGCTTAAATCAGGTTCTTTTCACAATCTGCTCATTTATTTGTACCTTATTTTGAATTCAGCTTTGTAGCCCTCTTTCTGCATGAAGCCTAAAGCAAAATCAGAAAGTACCTAGCTGACACTCACGTCGCTCTCTTTTTGCCTACAACCATGACATATTGAGTGATGATCTCACACGAGCTGAGCAGGATCTGTGCTGACTAGAGTATGGAGGAGGACACTTCAAAGCAAAAGCCGAGTTTTACAAGAGGTGATGTGAATAATTCAGGAGGGAGTAGTTATTAACCAGTGATGTTTTTTTTCTAGCAGTTAGTGGGAGCACTGTACTGTAGGAGATACCAGACCAGATTCTCAGAAAAATTTCTTTGAAGCCAACAGTATTCTGAATTTACCATGACTAAGAGTCTTCTATAAGAGATATAAACCGAGAGCATAATCAAACGTGCTCCTTAAAGTTCCCATAACCCTTTGCAAAAGTCTATGGGTGATCGGTGAATTCCCTGGCTAAATTTCAGTTTTGAGTAACTATATCCGTCTTCCTGAACCCTTACTGCATTTTGAATTGGCTGAAGGAGATACCATTATTTCCTGCCCTACATTTATGTTTATTCTTGCTGAATACTGTTAGAGAACTGCTGCATTGCACCCCTATGCATGTTAGAAACTTTCCAGTAGGGGAAAGCAGTGACTGGCTGATAGCTGGCCAAGTTCCCATCGAGTACAGAGACGCTGCGGCAGGAGCATATGGATTGCCTGCTGTAGATATGTGTTTAGTGAATATTTAGCAACAAACCCTGTCGTTAAGCATAAGAAGAAAAGCCATGGAACACGAATGAGCTAAAAGCCCTGTTTTGTAGTTGCTGCTTTCCGTAGATTCTGTCGCTGTTTTAACATTAATGAGACTGAAGAAAATTCGGAGCCTAAATTGTAAGAATGGGATAAAGCTGCTGTTATGGAGTTCAAAGGTTTATTACACAAATAAGGATGAGAGGAATAAAATCTTGTCAGTTCTTTGGTTATCTTGCCTGCAAAGCTGTGGATTTCTCCCTTGTGTTCCCATTGCTTTTGCAGTAATGAATTGTTCCAAACAGCCGATGGCCGTGCTGAGCAGGAGCTGCTCTTGTTATTACAGTAAAGCTCTCAAACACAAGTGCTGGACCCACTTGAAGGTAAATGAAGTGGAACAGAGGCTAGGCTCTCCAAATCTCAGTTTGCATAGCTTAATCAATCAGCTACTGGAGGGCACTTTGAAATTTGCAGTGACTTGTACACATTAATGAAGATTTCCTTCTTTCACCACCAAACAAACAAATGATAGTACACATGACATGTTTGATGCTACAGACGTGGTCATCTCTTGCTTTCCTTACTATGTGTATTTCTTCAGTCATTCTGTCATGATTATAAAAATTCTTGTTTTGACAATCTTTGAAGTAGATAATTGGATTCTTTCCTAATGAGGACCATATATCTGATCATTTCCTGTCAGAAGGCAGGACATTTTTGGCATGGCTTTCCCAGTAATATTCGATTACAATTTCAGGAGTTATAGATGCTTAACTTTACAGATGAAATGTAACAAACTTGTTCTCTACAAAATGAATGTTTTGCTCTAAAAAGATATGCGGCAAATACTAACAACTAAAGAAATTTATCTAACCAGACATACAGGTCATGTCTGCTGTTACATGTGCATCAGAATTCAGCATTTTTAATATATGAGGTGTAGAGACAGTAAAAAGATGAAAGTTATGCTTCATCTTCAGGTTAGCCAAAGAAAGTAGAATGCAGTAGAAAGTAGAATGCTACGTTCTACCACCAGCCTGAGTGAGAATTACTTTCTTCTATTGATTAGTAACATCTTGCCACAATTTTCCTGTCACTGAGGGCTGCTGTCATTTTAATGAAGATAACATTTAGAATTGAATTAGTCTCTAACGAACTTCCAGAACAATAGCAGTAACTCTTAGAAATATTATACTGCATCTGTTTCTTTAGCCCTAGGATGTCTTATATATAATTGGCAATACAAATTATGAAATCCAATTTTATGAACTCTACGTATATTCCTATTTTCAAGATCAGTCCTATTTTCAGGTAGATAGAAAACATGATCATGTATCATGCTGTTCTCCACTTACTGTAATTTGAGAAATTGCTTCAGTCTTACCAGAACAATAGTTGCTATTCTAGATTGTTACAAAAATAAGCCATAATATTATGTCTCAGAAAGCTGCCATTTGTTCTCTTATATTTTTAATTTAATCAAGACAGCAAAAATGAAAAGACAAAACCCACCTAAACTGAAATTACAAGTCTGCTTTGATAAAAACTGTACTTATACCACACTGAAAGATTAAATTAAAAAAAAAGAGCAGTAAGACAAGTGTGGGATGTGAAAATGACATTTCAGAATGCTACTGTTTGGGTGCATTACACTTTTGTTGTTAGTGTTGACTTTCAAGTAAAATGTTAATTTCTAAAATTTAAGGTTATTTTTTGTGGAATACTTAGGTATAAATGGCCTCCAACTCTTCAAGAATGGCCAGACACGGTGACTTACCAGATTTTGCTGACAAAGCCAATAAAATTGCTGGAATTTCTGAGACATGAGGAGCTGAGCACTTCCAACAGCACTTCGGATCTTACCTAGGACTGAGCACACAGACAGGTTATTACTACCATGTATAAATGCAAAATGCCAGCTGAAGAAAACATGTAGCTGAATCTACAGCTTAGTTTATAAGAGAAATAAATATTCATTTATGCTTTTTGAGATCAAATATATAAAACAATTTTAAGGAAAATAGAGATATAGGAATGCTCTGTGGCACCTTATCCTTTGGCAATAGTAAGTGATTTATTAACAACTCAGAACAGTATCTCTGCTTAAGAAATTAAGAATATTCAAGGGCATATATGCAGCTAGCTGAAGCTGTTTATACATATATTTTTGTATATTAATTATTATTAATATATTATTTTTATACATACATTTATGCATATATTTTTGAACACAATCTTAATGTCTAAATTAAATGACTAAAAAAAAAGCTTAGTGAAAAGCACTATCATTCGGAATGTTTTCCTAGCAAATGCATTAATCCTGATCTGACAAAGAACTTAACTGCAAACAATTCAGTAGGTCTACTGACATCAAAAACTAGTGAGTTATCACCCAACTTCATAGTCCACTAATTTTCCTAGACTTATCTCCTAAGCACCATGAGGCATAGCTAACAAAGATAACTTTACTCCACAGGTGCCATACAGGAACATCACTTATCATGTTCCTGTAAGATTATCATTTTATTTTTCAGATGGTATCATAAACCTATTCATACAGAAATTCTCTTTACATAAAGTCCTAAATTACCATTGTCATAATATTCTTTTAAGATCAACATTAATACTTTATTTATCTGAATCCATAAAGATTTTTTGTATACATTACAGATGCACAACAAAAGAAAAAAAAAAAGGAAATTGGACCCAGCTCAAAGCTGTTGAAACACTCTTGCCCTGAGAACCAGGTAGGCCCTTCAAGGTAGAATCCTGTTCCCTCTGAAGTCAAAGGGAGCTTTAAATGTACCTTGGATCAAATCTTCTGGTTCTGCAATCACAAATGACTTCACTCAGTTGTGTGGATGATCCCTGGATGAATTCTCTTTATCCTATCTGTACTGGGATTAAGGTTAATATGTTAAACTATAGCATACAGTACTCCTGCCATAATGATGAGCTCCTCAGAGGTTTCATGTCTTCGAGACATGTCTTGGCACCCTCACTGGGAGCTGCAGGTCATCTACTCTGGAAAATGCATAAAGACCTCAGCACAGTAGCAGCAGCACAGCGAGACACAAGCATGTGCTCCACGACTTTGCTCAGTCATAATCAGCCAGCACGGTCTGTTGGGCTTTCCCCACTGTCATTGCACTTGCCATTTCCCAAGTGCGTAAGCACTGGGGAAAGGGAGCAAATTCTTTCTACTTGACTGCTTCCCAGGGCCAGCAGTCTAAATAAAAACTTCTATTTGCTTGCTCTATAGGTAATGAAAAGAAATAGTCAGCTCACCCAAGGCAGGCAGTTTATTTTGGATGAGAGGAATTTCTTTCTGGAGATGCCTATTTCTTTCTATTGGCTAGAGAGCTTAAGAGGACTGGCTTAGCTCTAGAAAACTAACTCTTCCTAAACACATTTGCTGGGATAAATACCATACATTGGTAGGTAGCAATATATGTTCTTAGACCAAATTACACTTCCTTCCCTATGCAGAAAAAGCAGCATCTTAAAAAGCACTATAAGCTGGGGGTTCAGTGGAAGACTGAGTTTTTCCTGAGTATTCTCAGATCTTTAAATAATGTTCATGGGGAAGGCTGGAAGGAGATGCAGGTGTAGGGGTGGGACAGGAATTCTGACATCTCTCAAACTCAAACAGCTTCATCATTTGAGGAAACAAATTGATAATTCAAACAGGACCCAGAGGGTGGAATGAAGCTATAATATTACAGGAAAACTAAACTGCAACATGTGATACAGCAAACGTTAAACTCCAGCAAGGCTCAACATTTTGTTGTTTTTAGAATAAGAGGTGACTGGATGGCATGTGAAAAAATATATTCATAGGAGGCATTATGCTTTAATTTTGCTTTATCTAGACCAGTGGGACCTCTGCCTAACCACAAGAAGCAGCAAGAGATAATTTGGAAGTTTTAGGCTTCAGTTCTGTGAAAACACATACTTGTCTAACTTTAAATACATGTGTAAATTTGTAAAGCTGTGGTTCTCAAACTCTACTGCATTTTCTGTTAGACAAACAGTTTATAGCTGCACCACAACACTAAATTAAACAGTAATATAAATAATTCATCAGTCCCTTGTGGTACCCATTTGTGAAAGGGTTAAGTGGCTCCGGGCTGCATGAATAATTCACTGCAGTTTTGTTTTTGTTTTGTCGGTCAAATGAAATAAAACATTTTAATTGGTTTGGGGTTTCTGATCACCAAAACCCTCACTTTCCTCCATGGAGTTTTTGGCATATGAAAAGCAACGTTTTGGGTGTTTGGAAACCAACAAACACACAGAAACCCGAACAAAAAGGAAATGTTTCATTTGGTATGAAAAAAAATTGCTTTAATTTTTTTTCAGCATTTTTTAACAAATGCAAAGACAAACAAACTGGGATTCTCCTTTCCCCTTGATGTTCTGTAGCTCAGGACATAAGACAAACTCCAGATATAGGGTCAGCATCCCTTCCTTGCCAGGATGAGAAATTTTGGTACAGTAGTTATCTCTGACATTTTCTTACTGAAGCTATTCCACATTATATTCTAGTATTTACGGGACAGGAAGAGTCCGGTATCTATCCAGAGATAGGCTGATGAACCATAGGCTAATGGTTACAGTGCTTGTCTGACAAGGAATACATTTTGGCTTTAGTTTCTTCCATCTAATTGTACAGCTCATACCTGAAATGCATAGTCTGAGAAAAGGACATCCTGCCTGACCCTATTACAGAACTGACATTTTCTAGTGAATCTCACACCCAACCCTCCTCAAATAAATATTTATTTGATCTTCATTATCCTTCACGTTAACAAGTACCCATGATTTAAAGCCCAGGCAGACCAGAAAGATTTAGGCAAGGCACTGGCAGCGCAGCATTTTGGTATGATACAGGTGCACTGAGGATGTTAGACACAGTGGTCCCGTGCTAATCAGGTGTGTCATCGAGTTGAGCGACATGCCAAAGATGCCTCACCAGAAATTACAGAAGCAACCTTGTGCTGGGCAACTCCTGCATCTCCTGAAGAAGCACAGAGTTTCCCCATCCCATATGAGCAGAAGACCTCCGGATCGAAAAGTACGCCTGTGATTACCCTCACAAACTTCATTGGAACTGCTTGCTGCTAGCCTGGATTGCTCAGGCCTTTATTCCATCCAAGTTTTGGAAATCCTGAAGGACAGACAAACTACAGCCTTTCAGGCTGTGTTTGACCATCTCCACGCTGAGGACTTTTTTCTTCTGTTCAGCTGGCATTTCTCTTGCTGCAAATTGTGCCTGTGACGTCTCATCCTTCCAGTGTGCACCTCAGAGAAGAGTCTGGCTCCACCTTGGTATTCACTCACCAGTCAGTGCAACACTGTAATTAGCTCCCCTATTAGCATCTTCTGCACCAGGCGAAATGAGCCTTGTTCCCTCAGCGCTAGTGCACATACGGCAAGCTTAAATAACTTGCAGAACTAGGAGCCGGTTGCCAGGAATATTAGGTACAAAGCAGCCTATAGCAGTTCTTAAAAATGGCTCTAATAGTAGTGAATACACATGTACAATTACAAGCCTACCATTTACTAAAGATCTCCCAACTCTATTTCCATTTCAATAAGTAAATCAGACTTAATAAAACATAGATGTTAGAATCTCTCATATTCATGCCACTCTGCTTTACTGTAATTAAATTAAAGTATTAAAACACTTCAATTCATAATCTTTAGCACACTATTAATAGACAACTAAAGCCTTGTTATTAATTTCATGCATTGGGGAATTATTCTGATGAGTGCAGATAGATTGATTATTTCCATGAAAGAATGATGAATGTTAGAGACTGGAGAGACTGAGATGTCTGGTAATGCCTAGAAGATTTTGCTTGTAAATAAATGAAGATAAAATCAACCAATTCTCATAAATATATGTAAATTCCATATGTGTCATCTACCCTCTCACCCCCCGATTAAGATTATGTTATCTTTCCTGGAAAGTCAGGAGTGACACAACCATAATTCTGCTCCCTGAAGCATATGAAACATTCAGTTTTTGTTGTGTGGTCCTGCATGGCTTCTACTTTGAAGATATACAAAACTTAGACCATGACTTCAGGATGTATTCTCTGGTCAGAGATTGTGCAAGTTCCTTGTAACAACATCCACAGTTAATGCAATGATGTCTCCCTTGCAATAAGCACATTATAAGATTTGAGATTATAGGTATATATGTTCTATTGCTTGAGAAGCACTAAAAATCATGAAACTGACTACGCCTTCACATCACAGAGACAGAGGGGGAAAAATCAGATCTATACTGAAGAAATCATGATCACAATATGATGCTGTTACTCTATTTTTGACAGGTTAAAAGCTTTGTTCAGTTGTGCCACTACTGTACCAGTGATGACAAACTGCTAAGAATCAATCTATATTCGATCATATTTGTTTCCCTGGCATTCATTACGGTTTATTTAACTGATAGGTCTGTATTAATGTTCATTCATCTTTAGCAATTTTTTTTTAATTTCATTTAATTCTAATTTTAAATTTTCATTTCATTTGATTATTTCATTTTTTCTATAATTGTAAACAAATTGTTCCATACACAATATAGAGAACATATGCCTGGAAAAAATCTTCAAGGTGACATCTCCTAACTCATACCAGGGTATGTAGAGCAGATACTTGTCTAATCTCTAAACCTCCTAATTTACTAATCTGCAGTCTGAAATGTGTGCCTTTTTCACAAAATATAAGCATAATAATAAATGTATAATATTTAGAGTGAGATGATATTTTTGGACAGCGCAGCTACCTAATAGCAGTGTTCTATAATGTAAGTATAAAATACATCTATTTTATAAGAAACTGTACAGCCATTGGAATGGTATTGCTCAGACTATAAAATATACTTATTAATATGTCAATATACATCATACATATATTGTACATACCAAAGATGTGATTTAGAAAAGAGAGAATTTCCTTTAATAGAAGCCAATAAGGACTTTTATAAGGCAGGATTTTATAAGGCATGGCACGATTTATAAAATGAATGAAGCACACTAGAGAGTCCTGATTGTACACCAAAACTTTTGTTTAACTCCATATCAATTTTAAGATTTCAAACCTGCAACTTTCAAGCTGCTGAGATACTTCCAAATGACAGATTTCCACAGCACTGATCTTAGGATCTGTGATCACAACAGTAGGGCAATGGGATCCAAGTGAGATTCAAATGCGAACCAACTGAGACTCTATGTAGATTGACTTTTTACTTAAACGGAGCTGGGTGAAAAAGGAGAAAAGCTGAGCAGAACAATTCAAATGCTAAGAGGGATTCTTAGATTCCACATTATGAGACTGTCTCTGATTGACTTTAAAAACTGTTTCAAGGAAATTAAGACATTCTCTAGTCATTTACAACACTCCAGATGTAAATTGCAACAGTTCCTGAAGGACAGTTGTGAAAAACATTAGGAAATTATGTAAGTGATAGAATAACCTGCATTTGGTAAACCACCAAGACAGCTTTTATGGATGATAAGTTGATGAATATGCTAAAATAAATCAGTTGTGAGAGTTTTTTTTTTTTTTCCCTTCCCCCCCAAAGTATGGGTGATTTAACTCTACCTTTTCTGTTACTGTTTGTATGTGTCATTAAATCCCTTGCAGCACACTGGAAATATTAGCCAAAGGTTTAGCAAGGAAAAGCCAGGCATCCATGAAATGAAGCGGGAAGGGGAGAAAAGGGTGATATTTTGTGCCCTCTCTGTCTCTAACACCTTTTCTACACTACAGATCACTTTACCTCAATAGATGCAGCTATGCCAGCAGAGCTCCTATAACAAAGATACAGAAGATGCCTGCAAAACAACCCTTTTGCTTGTAGGGTTCATACTTTGTTAGACTCTGTTCTAACAAAGGGAATTTTTTTGCAAGCCTCAATGTATATCTACCATTAGATTTTGACATGAGAGTAAAGTCTATTTTTTGTTTGACTTGTGTACTGAAATGCTTCTTGAAAAAACATACGGCATTCAGGAGCCCACAACGTCCTCAGCTCCTCCTGCTTCTCTCTGACAAATCTACAAGCTCTGGGTAGTGACTGATGCCCGCAGGCCCAGTCCCCTTCTGGGCTGGCCTGCTCACCTCCTTACTGCTCCCATCACACAGTTCACGAGCTGTACAGTCCTGGCCCTCCCTGTCTTCAGTAGCTTTGCGACAATCAAGAGTGTTTTTCTTATCATCACCTACACATCGCTAACAGCCAAATACAATTTCCAGGGTGCAAAACTGAAACTCTAGCCTTTATCCTTGAGAAACACGTATCTTTGCCTGGTACTCTGCTAGTACAAATGATCAGATGACTTTTAACAGCTACTGCCATACACATACACACATACACACATACACACATACATACATGCATACATACATAAATATATATGTTATAATAAGCATTAAGAACACAAATAACTGCCCACATAAACAATATATGAAATTCATAGAGACTAGAAAATACAGTTCATGGCAACTGACCAAAAAAATAAATTCTGCGAAAAGAAAGAGAGAGAGGTTATTTTTGTTGCAATGATTATTTTCTCCTTTTCAAAGACCTGATGAGTGAAGTTCTTAAAACAACATTATGGGAGAGAAGCTACAGTGAAAGAAAAAATCAATACAGCAATCAGATCTGTGGCTTTCTGTGATCTCAAGGCTATTTTGCTAACACACAAAATGAAATTACTTTCTAAAATGCAGTTCTGTTTTAACTCTTCCTATGATTAAAATGAAATATAAATGGTAGCATAAGGATGGCCTTCTCCTAAGAGATGCAAAGCTACATTTGTTCCTGAGGTACAATTAATATAACCTGGCTTAAAATAAATGATTCAGCACTAACAATGACAGTCCAAATGCGTCGACTTTGCTGTGAAGTGTTTTGGGAATAGTAGCTCCTGCTGGAAAATAGGAGAACATATTCAGTTGCTTCTAGCTCAGACATTTGTGAAATTTTTTTTTCAGGAAACTGCCAGATGCTTAAATATGTCAAAATACATTTCATGCTGAGGTATCATTAAACCTCAGTTCTTGTGGATACACACCTTTCAACCACCATGGCTCAAATGGTGGGGGACAAAAAATGTGTCAAAGGCTCAACATGAAAAAAAATGTTCACACAGAAATCTTAAAACGTTGTGAAGCTTATTCCCTCCGTAAAAATAATTCTTTGATAACTTCTTTTTTCCTGATGTAAGTTACATTAAGTGATGGGATACTTTTTCAAAGATAATGCAATTTGGAAATGATTTGAGGAACATGTCTTGAAATTGAGAGACATAAGATGGACAAGTGGAAGTCTGAATGTCATTTCTGACAGACATCTGAAGATAAAAATCCGATTTTCTTTATGCTATATAGACCTATTTGATAGTAATTCCACTAAGGTTTCAGGGAGGTACCAAACACAGGTAACAAAACCTTTGTGGTTAGTTTAAAAAGTGGATTGCAAGGCCCATTTTAGTTGTGCTTAAATATCTCTACATCAAGGAACTGTTTTTTCTTTTTCTCTTACAGAGTAGAGTCACTCTGCAAATGGGGAAACATAAAATCCTCATATTTCCGTTTTGTTTGCTCTCTGGAATTATTTTAGGTTAAAATGGTCTCTCTAGGTCAAAATAGTAACAAAAATGACTGAAGTCCAATGTGTCTTCATGACCTCTGTACAATTGTTTGAAAACTATTCTCCTAATTGCTGCTTCCCTGTGTGGCAAGGTGTTTTATACTATTTCTAGATTGCAAGAGCATAGCTTCACGTGGGAGCAGGGAAGGTGGTTCTGCACCTATGAATTGATAGTCATCCAAAATCACCTTCTCCAAGTTTTACTCAAGTCAGCTTCATATGCCAGAGAGTAACTTTCCACAACTGAGAAAAGAGTACTGATGTGAGAGTATTTCCACTGTTCATTTCATTGGATCGGGGATTAGATTAGGGCTGTGGGAGGGGAAAGGCTTGCAGAGAAAGGAGGTGGGAGAAGTCCTCCCATTGCCCGAGGACTCCTCATTGGTCTCCTAGAGAAACAGATGAGCTAACTGGCTATGTATTTCCTGACTTTTCTCCCTAATAATTTTACTCTTGCCAAGGAGACTAAAGTGTTGCTCGTTGGAATGTTGCTTCAGATCGCAATCAGTGATGTGCCCACATCAGTAAAAGGCCATCTAGGAACCTCATACTTCACGATACTTAATGATAGCAAACAAATGTCAATATTCAGGAGAACAAAGATTTGGGGTGTATGAAAGAAGACTGGGGAACCCTAATACACTCTAAGTGCAGCAGAGTATTTTATTAGTGGGAGCTTAACAGCCCCTAGGAGAGCATTAAATACTTCATAGTATCAGTACAAAAAGAAAATTCTCAGCTCAAAACTGTTATGATGAAAATTATTACAAAACTCCAAACTCCAGAAAGCAATGACATTTGGAGAAATAAAAACAGCCTTTATGTCCCCCATTTCGCCCCAAACCCTATGTTTTTACTTGGCAAAGACTTGTACCCAACGTAGTGGAGAAATATGATGTAAAATGAAAATGATGAAGCAAAAACGTAGACATTCTTTCTCCCCAAAAGGTCAATGCAAGAAATAGAAATTGGCCTGCTAGTCATCATGTAGGCCTGGCCCAAGACCCGAGGGCAGAACATACACAAGAAATCATTGAGGGGAAGAAGACAATCAGGAAAAAATGTTGTGTGTTAGATTGGTGAAGTGTAGAAAAAGATGCTAGTAAGAAAACTTAATAAAAACTAATTTGTGAGCTGAGAAAACTGAGGTTGAGGAAATAATTCAGATCAGAGGGAACTGAAATATTTATAAAACAGAGACTGAAGAACAAGGATAATTGACCTCAAAGGGAATCACAGGGAGCTGGCTACCGAGAGCTAGGACCACTTTGATATATTACTATCATTAGCGCTGGCTTGGATCCTGTTCCAAAATAGTCTACATTATTTTTCATTTTATCCCATCATTCCTTTCAAGATGTCTACAGGAAATAAGAGAATAATAATGATTATTGACAAAATTATAGTAAATAAATGTAGCTGAACTATCTAAGACTTTGCATGTCTGTGTAACTGTAGAAGTGCTTTAACTACTATTTTTGCCTATTTCTTTCCATTAATCTAATGAACCTTTTATGTCAGGCTGAAGCGCCTGGAAAGGAATGACAAAATTTTAAAAACAGTTGTTCCAAGTAGCAGGCAAATTCTTAGGATTTAGGAAGACACCTAACAAATGTTTATGCAGGACCACCTAGTACACTCGGGCAAAGGATCAGGCACTAGAGTCATAGAAGTTGGTGGGAAGATCGTGTCAGAGATGGAGCTACAGATCTGTAGCTATTGCACCATCTGAGCCATATTTAGCACCAAATTTTGATCCAGCACTTGACTATACAGATGGTTCCTCAACTACTTCCGTAAAACCTCACTCTGGCAAAGGCCTGCTTGCACAGTCTCTTACAGGAGAGGGATCTTCTATTTAATGGCTCTGTAGAGTGTCTTTGACACTGCAAAATGAGTAAGGAAAAGCTACAGACCGCGACTTCATCCTAACATCCCATTTTAACAGACATCTATAAAAAAAGATACTGAAATGTTCTTACTTTCTTCAGAAAGATCATTTTCTTCTGCCTCTCTTTCCATTTCTTTACACCATCCTTCCATCCTCTTAGTTTCAGTATGTAGTAACTTCATAAACCAAGATCCATCCCGTCGACAAGGAGACATTCGACCAGTTTCTACTGTCTCAATGGCTGGCTCTAGCCAGGGTTCTGGTGGTGGAAGATTTGAGGTGTCAACCGGGGTCCTATAATCTTCTCGGTAACTGAAGAGTCCCTGTGTCCGTACAGTTCTCACTGCGCTGTATTGGGTAGGAGTGCTGGGCTCTGAGTGCTGCTGGAATGACGATCCAAACTGAAGTCCTTTGTCCTCCATGGTTATGTGTCCTGGAAAGCCCTCCAGTTCCAGGTCAGCCTGGACAGCTGCTGTTACGCTGTTTGAGCGCTTAAATCGTCCATGTCTTGGTGATGAAGCAAGGAAGAAAAGAGATTAAAAAATATAAACACATATGTAATTATACAGGGGCATAGAATAACGTGTCAGTGAATGAATTCTGTTTTTTCCCTTGAACTTTAAGATAATTTTTTTCCTTGTGCTTATTTCACTAAAATAAGACAGTGAGTAACAACAGAGAGGAAAAAACAAATGCATAGGGTTATAGTGGCATTATTGATTTGAGCAAAGATACAGAGGAAAATCTTTTAAATTATCTCTTGAAGCAAATATTGATTTGTTCTCATACTGTAAAATATTGCGTATCATTGCTAAATGAAATGGAAATAACTAGCAGAACTGCAGAGTTATATTTCCTGATAGAGGACTATGAAGTACACATATAAAAAAAATCAAATATTAAGGATCATAACCAAATGAAGTCCGAAAATCTTCTAAGCTGACTGTCGAGAATTCTTTAATAAAAGAAAAATAGTAGCACCAGGTTGAAGAGTTCTTTTTTTTCCTGCTTCATAGAATGACCATTAAATGTTGATTTTCGATTGCAATATGCCACTGAATAATGACATTTTAGAAAAGCTTCAAGTTAAAAAGTTATATAGAGAGGCAACGATTGTTCATGAAATCTTTTCACATCTAGGCTTATTGGTTCAAATTACTTCTAGTCAATGGTGATAAAAAGCAATTAGCAGCTAGATACTATCTGTTAGCTACTGTGAAATGAGATAATAGTCCCAGTCCAGTATTCAATGGACAGTGTCTGCCAGGGATAACCGGTGCATTAGTACATTAGCCAGCAGTTTTACCAAAACAGATAAAGATTGGCCAAGCATAAAAGCTCATTCTAGTTTAGGATGAAGGTACCCTGCAAGAACTGCAGGAGTCTGTCAGTGCGAGGTGTCCTATAGAAGGAACCATATTCTAATATATGTATCTCCTTGCGTTTGCTCTATAAATAATGAAAGAATATTATTAATCCATTTAAAACTTTTACTTTCTTCCCTCCAATTAAAACCTGGAAATCTGACTAAATATTAAGAGATCACTAAATAATTTCTACAAATTTTACCAAATGACCAGCATGCATTTAAGAAATTTGACCTGGTGAATTGTTTGGAGGCAGCACTTACAAGCTGTTTGTTATTAATTATTTCTATAAACATGCTTTGTTTTATGAAAAGATTTTTGTATGTGTTTGAATTACCTTTTTTCGTCTTCCACTTGCACTCCAACGGAGTGGTACTCCCGTAGACCTCTGCTCTCAGTATCTGAATCAGTTGCTGTTTCCACCTAATTCAACACAGAAGATATATCTGCAGAGTGAGCACTGATAACTCAGCATTATTTCTACCTGCAGTTATTTAAATTAATTATATTTTCCTCTTTTACTGCTAAGAAACATCTAACACAGTAAAATAAACTAAGTAAGTATTCAGCATGATTTGATTGTTTTGGTGCTGGGTTTCATAAAGCTTTCCACAACTACTTCTGTTCTGCTATGTGAGTCCCTATTTCAACTCTAAGCAGACGCAATTACTCAGTTCAGTGGAAGCAGGAAGTAAGTTTGGCTTGGAAAGTTTGGTTCTTAGAACTAGGAATCCACAGGATAGTCCCTTTTATATTATTATAAAACAGTCTCATTATAGTCCATGATTTATAAAATAAAATAAAAACTCAAGTAGTCCCATAAACTCACAAGTGATAAAAAGAAATGTTGCAATGAAATTTTATCGATAACTCTGTTGACAAATATAGAACCATTTAAATGACGTGAAGAATAAGGCAGAATGCCGTATCTCACCTTTTTTAATAACACGGTCCTGAAAATGCTATATCAAGCAAGTAATTTATGCATTTTTATAGCATTCCCATCTGAAATGCACTTGCCAAAATACATTTACAGCAGAGTTTTCTTCATAATTGAGACCACATCTCTACCACACGTTTCTATCAGATTTTATATAACACTCCCCACCAGCACACTGCCCCCAGGTCTTTGACACAGACATAGTGAATGTTGCAAGGTATGCAAATTATGTTGAATCAAAGGAGAGTTAGGAAAACAAGAGTAGAAGAGACTTTCCTTTTGAATGATATTTTCACTGTTAAATAAAATATGTATTATCAGCAGCCAGTTTCTTAAGATGCATAGTCTAGTGCATTCAAAGAGTATATCTTATAATGAAGATGAGACAACTTTTCCCCTTGCAGCAGTCACAGGCAGCACACTTGTACGCTCCTCTTTCTCCTGGGCCTCTGGAACGAGCCAAAAAGCCTTCACGGCTCTCTCCTAGCTGCATAGTCTCAATCCCACCAGTCTCTGGAAGGATGCAGAGAGAAGGGGGAGGGAGGGTAGGAAGTAATGTACATGTGGACTCCGTTTTTCGAAGAAGCCAGTTACTGGTAACTTCTTTCAGTCTTCAAGCTGTAGTTCCATGTACATTCACACTGAAGGGAATCAAAACCAGTAATCAGCATACATTCATATTTACCTGCCTGTGGGTCTTGGAGATCTAAATGAAAAGTTACCGCAGGATACCTTTAGTAAGTGTTACATGTCAGGCACAGGTTTGCAAAGAGCTCCAGGTATCAACATTGCAATTGTCAGGGAAAGTCACATTTCCTAGCAACTCCATTTATTCTGCATGAGCTGTAGAGGAAAGCATGCTCTGTCATCTGTTTCCCCCTCGGTAGTTGCATGGAAGCCTGCTACATTCACTTGGACAAGCTATGTATTTTGAGAACTGTTTCCTCTAAGATATCAGATTCACAGTCTCAAAGATTTGTTGTTGTTAGTATAGAAAGAAAGATCTCTTTTGATGTTAGCAGTGAAAAACACCCTCAGCCATTGAGGTAGGTGGCTTGAGGGGAAAAAAGACAGGCAAGTTGGCTCCCTTAACTAGTTTTCTAGTTCAGGTGGATCTCAGCTACAATGTGAGTGAGAAACTTAAGCTGAGCCTGGAAGGTCACACTCTGCCTAGGGAACATTGCTATATGTAGAGCAGCCATAAGAGCCAGTTTCTTAGCACAAGGAATAGCTATGGGGAAAGATACCCTAATTTATAGAATGCAAGTTACTAAGGACCTAAAGGGTCTTGAATAATAGGTTCAAGTCTAAGTGAGGGACTAGGCACTCAGCTAGCCCTTTCAAGGACTTCAGAAAAGCTGGGTATGAAATTTGTTCTTCATTAGAGGCTGACAGGTAGAAATAAAGGTGAATTGAAGCGGGCCAAGAGCCCACATAAGCACACATGCACACACACTGAACTTCCTAGTTCTAGCCAATGACCTGGTATTACTGTCTCTGAAGCTGAATTTGTGAATGCAGGAGAGCAGCTGCCTTCTCGCCTGGATGGATTACCATTATCCGTGTCTTTCTGGTACTGAAAAGCAGTCACTGCAGAATCTTCCTCCTCTCTGGCACAGGGAAATTAGTTTTATTTAGTTTTGTCTTTTTCAGTGCCAGC